ATTTATTTTGCAGAAGAGATGGAAGAAGAAAATATTTTCCAGAATAGCGTGCATTTGCCCAGCTTTAAGCCTTCATTTGTACACTCTTTTGCATAGCTTGCTGTCTGCTGGAAACAGCCTGCTTAACAGCATTCTTCCTCCTTCTCAAAATTTAAGGAAGACATCTTTTAAATATACATATATACATAAAAAAAATTAAAATCTCAGAATAGATTTACCTGCATAAGATCCACAGCATCTTTTGCATCCCTCTCAAAGAAATCTGGAGGAAAGTCTCGAGATGGAGGAATGGACTGTCCATATCCCCGAGGATCCCAAGCAACAATTGTGAAAAGTTGCTTATTCATAGACTTAAGCTGTGGTCCAAAATCGGTTTGACCACTCCCTGAAACATCATCATTTTTCAATTAAATATAATTTAATAATTATATACATAATACATAGTATACATACGCTAAATGGAAACTGAGGAAACTTATATCTTAATTCTAAAAAAGAGGTTAGCCATCAACTGAAGTATGCTTTATCTCTAATTGTAACTAACCATTGCAATTCTCAGATAGGAAGTACCACAATAAAAATCTTTAGAAGTATCTGCAATACACTCAGAACAAACCATTTCTGGCAGGTATATAAGCTTATCAAAAACTGTGCTCTACACAATGCTTTACTACAGAATCCTAAACTGAGTTACCTGGGTGGGGATTTATCTTTAACAGATTTAAAGCACTAGTACGGTCATTGCTGTTCATCTGGACAGCACAGATGAAACTGAAAGGGGAGGAATATACTGACCCTAGCTACAAATTTGTAGGTGAAAAGCACTGTGCAAGACAGTTGTTCTTATTTGATAAAACTATGACAATATTGATGTTTAAAGCTGAGCTTTAAATACTTTGTTACCTGAAGAGACAGTAGTGACACAAAAGCACAAAACTGTAACTTTTGATTTTTCTTAACGTGTATGTTACCAAAATAAGTCAAATACAGCCATTTTTCTGATGCAGAACAGTTTTTTATTGATGGCTCAGATCTTCGAGGGATTAAAAAATTAATTACTCCCATCTGTTGCACTCAGCTATTGATGAACACTAGCACAAAGTAAGACTGCAGTTTACTTCTTATTTGTTTTATGGTCATGTGGTAACAGTATCACAGACTACTTGATTAAAACCTGTTCAGGTCTAATATATTCAAATGATGCAAATCAAATATCAAATTAGCTGTCCATCATTATATTGCACAGGCTGTTCAAGGGCATTTAAGATGTTTTTTTGTTTACTTGGAGAAATAAGTCCTCAATACTTCCTTTGATACCACCAACTGGTCTAAACAATAAAAGAGGCTGTATACAGCATGCTAGGATGAGCTGACTACAGTCTGGCATGCTGTCTTGCAACACCAATTAATGGCTAGTCAGAAGCAAAATATCAGGTGGTTTGAAAAATACCAACGCAACCCAGTGAATGTTAAGCATGTATTCTCACATAGGCTTTGTACGAACCTCTGTGCTACCATGCACATGCTCATTATGCTGTACCTTTTGTAACTTAAAAAATACACGAGGCTGAGAGCATATCTGAATGCTGTGTTTTCTTGGTCTTAGTATTTTTCTAGTTAGAAAGAGAAGCATCACTTTTGTTTTAATGTAGTTTACAAATAGTCTAGAGACTAATTAATTTTATTGACCTAAAAGCACTTACTTTCTTGCCACAACGCACTTATTAGTCTGTTAATACTGTAAGTAGTATACAATAATGTTGAAAACTTAGCATAAAGGGAAGAAGCACGTGACAGTCAGAATGTAAAGCTCACCCTCACGAGTTGCCCCAAAATATTGAACTGTAAACTTAATAATGGTAAAGATAGTAACCCTGTTACTGTTTGTAATAATGTTAATTGAACAATAGCAATGTACACCTAGTAATAATAATGTTACTCACAACTGAAGAAATACATTATTTCTATTTAAAGAGTTAGCATTGGCTACAGGATTACTAGTTTAAAAAGCTGTTTAGAATGAATAGGTTAAAACATATGAATACAAAAGCACCCCTAGCATTAACTTTTTCCCACACTCCCCTTGAGATTTCTGTGAAAGAAAGAACTACTTCACGAAGACTTGAAAACGTTGCTGCCAACAACAAATGTTTCCTGCTCTTCAGTTCTTGACATTCTATCACCTTGATCCAGCAATTCAGTTAAGCATAAGCCCAGCTCTGAGCACATCCTATTGACAGCCTGCCATGAACTGCTAGTAAGTCTGACTGGTTCTTTAGAACTGCAAGAACCCAGAAAAAAAAGCCCGTGTTAATTTTAAAAGGTTGTTATCAAAAGCAGTGCTCTTGATGGGCAGATACCACTTAGCTAGCAAAACCTGTTGTTCGTCTCAAAAAGCCACTGAGAATCTTAATGATGTTGCCCTGAATAACCAAAACAGGAAAATACATTTTTAAGCAAAAAGTAAGTCTCAGCTGTGCCTTTTTCACTATGATAATAAATGGCAAGTGCTGCATTATGTGTACTAATTCAATTGGAATGCACCTAGTTTCTACAAAGGAATGCATAATTCAGTCTGTGTAACAAATATAGCTGACCTGATTTCCCCCCCACTGTTATTTTGCACCTTGTGTAGCTATTTGCCACCTGTGCTGGACACCCCCTTTCCGCAGTTAAACCCAAAAGTGCGAGTGATGACTGCACGAGTCAAGACATAGTACAAAAGGTGCCTGGTGAGATAAATGAAATCTTTAAAAACTGTTGGCTGATCACAATAACTGCCTTTTCCTATCTGTTGTACATGTAGCAACTTTTTTAATGACAATGCTCTGTAATCAGGTGCTGAACATACTACAAAATAGTTTTGTGCATTCTAGCTTGAGACCGGGTGGTGTAAGAAGTGGTTGCTCTATAAAGATAAGACAAAATCTCCAGACCTAGCATTCCGGGAAGCAGAAGAACCGCATGGCTTCCTTCTCCTGTCTGCTGATAATGCAGGTGGACTCCGTTCACTTGGATTTTGGCAGATGTTATTGAAGTGCTAGGGATGGGGGAAGGGGCGAGAAATAGGAAAACGTTCAGACAGTGAATTCTCATTACTACATGGTCATTCAAGGAATACAGAATAACTACTTTTTCTAGATATTAATGACAATGCCGTGAGATTTAAATGGGTCACTTTCCTTTTGCGGGTGCACAGAAGACTAAATAAAAAACTTGTCAGAGAGAAGTATTCAGTTGTGACCACTATGTAACATCAGTACTTAGGTTACACGAATGTAGTTAAATGACTTAAGCTAAAGGGTAGGGGGGAAAAAAAAGTCTGGACTGTGCAACAAGGGGAATATAAAAGCAGCTTTACATGGCTACAGAAATGCGTTGAGAGAAATATATTAGAGAGGAGAAACCTCATTCTGTCACAGCATAACTTCTGAAATGGCTGGTATTCACCTTGTAATTACTAAACTGAGCCTCTCCATCTGCCAAAGAAACCACAATCTATTGTTAGGGTTCCTCAGGAACCAGAGGGTCTACACTGAGAACTACCTTGCACCGAGATGAGGGCAGAGAAGAAGAATGTGATAATAATATACCTGTCAGTGTAATCTCAGCAGGAGATAATGCTTAATTGGAAAATACCACATGACTGAAAAAGCCCACCCACAGAAGAAGTACCACAGAAACTGACCACATAGGCCACCTCCCAGCCCTGACCCTTAAACCCCTACTTGAACCTTCAGTACGAAGCAAGACAGATGTGTAAATGCAAATAGGTAACCTGAGATACCATGTCTAGATACAAATACGTAGCGAGAAAGCAGAAGTAGCGTAGATTGAAGGTGGTGTCTTAACAGCATAAACCATCGCATCTGTTCTCCCAAGCAAATTTGTGCCCTAATGGTTGCAACACATCTTTTCACCAACCTAACTAATTTTATTTGAAGGTAGTAATATGATAAAAATTTTGCCATTTGGTTGCCTAATGGTTAACCTTTATTCCCTGCACTTCTCAGTTTAGCTAGATTAAATATTCTTGCCCTGTGAATTCAATCAGCATGAATTTCACATGCATACAGAAATGCTGTTTTCCAGTCTTATATGTAACAATAATCTCTATTCCATGATATGTACCGTGCAACGCATTAAAAATTCCTTTTTAACACATAAATTCTAAACTAATTACAGCACAAAAGCATAGTCCCACCTGTACAGAGTTTAAAATGATGGAGTAAAAAATGCCATAAAATTAAACCTTTCTTATAAGGAAAATGAACAACAGCTTGTGAGCTCAGGTTCCTGGTATATAAGTGGCAGCTCAACCACAGAACCTGCTCAACACAAAGCCAGCTGAATTTTATGTAAAATCTTTGTTGACAGAACACAACAAGTTGTGCCACATGCCTAAATATAAGCCATGGCTTTGCAGAATAGGATCAGCTTTCTACCTGTGCAGATGCAATCTGAGAACTGGAGTACGGATGCAGATCTGTGGCAAGAATACAGCTCAAAGGAACTTGTTGTGTCATTATAACTTCAGTGAGTTTTGCTGAATTTTTATGCAAACGTGATTCAAGTGATTAGTTTGACTGTAACGTTAAACCTCCTTTAAGTTTGTATATCACACCTGATGTGGGTATATACTTCACAACTTGATATCTGAGCGTAGCATTCAGATGGCCTCCCTACCCCCTTTTTGAATATGACTTTTGCTTTTTCTATTTATAAAAGAAAATGTTTTGTTATTTTGTCTTGATACACCATCTTTTGGTTTATCATTCATTTCAACATTTCAACTATTTCAATTTTACCATAGTTCTTACCACAGCAAATGAGCATCTTGCTCTACTAATTTTTATAGAAATGTGTGATTTTCTTTTTTTGCTTCTGAATAGTAATTGCCAAAACCATTTCCAGTTCTGAACAAAACTGAAATAATCACCATCCTGTTACCTTTTTTTAAAAAAGGTTGCTAACGTAGTAGGCAAGAACATGCATTCCTCGTAGACAAAGGATGTATATTCCGCTTTCCTGATTCAGATGCTAGATTTTTTTTTTTTTTACACACAGTTCTACATATTTTTAGGATTAATTATTAACATCAGGGGCTTGAGAATTTTGCTGAGTTTGTGGTGCTTTTCTGTTCTTGGACTGTGCCACATGTAAAGTCCAATGAAATGCAGGACTTTCACAACGAGAGTACTTTCAATACTTTCCGGACTAAGAACAAGTTGGGGTTTTTCATGTGCTGAGAAACTGTACTGGAACTGGCTACACCTAAGACAGATTTGGTCCCACACCAAGTGTCTGTGAATCCGAATCACTTCGGTATGCTTGCCAACACGACGACTTCGCTTCTGTCAAGTTTTCATAAAGACTGCATTTTCCATTGGTTGGCATAAGCAGAAACCATGTTTAAACAAACAAACAAAAAAAACCCAAAAAAACCAAAAACACAAACCACTATTTTGTAACTGAATTAGTAGTGTTAAGGTTTATAGCTCTTTGAGAAGCGTGGGATGCACACTGGCAATGTTTTGTTTACCACCACAGCACAGATGCAGGGTAGGCAGGTCTTGTACTGTGCCTTGTTGGAGGCCACGCTTCACCCCATGCTCTGTAGGAGCAAGCTGAACCTGGGCACTGCCTTTCTGTTCCAGCTGTGCTACGGTACAATCTAGTCTTTATCTGTGCAGTGGGGGGAGAAAAAAAATACGGTATGATGTCTGTTTTCCTTCATGGGATGTGCAGAACGAGCAGTCTTATACGGGTTACATGTATGTGTGCTCTTTGCCACCTCCAGGGAACACCTTACCGGCGAGAGAAAGAAGAAGAAGGGCGGGTGAGCAGCAGGTCCTGCCTTGCAGGGGGAAAATGGAGTCGCAGGAGGGAGGATGGCGGACGCTGACGAGAAAGGCTTGCGGAGCCTTGCAGCAGCGGGAAGGGGCTCTTTCCTCCCCAGCGAGGCGAACCCCCCCGCCTAAGTGCAGAAGCAAGCACCTCAGGGTACTACCAGAAGCCCCACTTTGTCACCCCCTCCCCCTCAAAAGAAATTTAGCATACACCCGCTCTGCTAAAACACCCCCC